GGATTTGGGTGATGCGTTGAATGGGATTGGCTGAATACAGCAGTAACCGCCACACTCGCCCCAGTAATTGGTGAATATGAAGAAATCCGAATCTCTGCTCATGACCGGGCATTTCAGTTTGATTGCCAGTTCGGCAACGGCACGATCGGGGTCGGTGCGTCAGATGGTCGAGCAATCATCACGCCAGCATCCAACGCACGTGATGAAATTGCAGCAATTATCGACTCGAATGTCGGCCATCAAGACATTATCACACCAAGTGCGACGTTCCCGGATGAAGGGGGGATCCGTGAATGTTCATAGATATGCGGTAGCAGGGCTACTGCATCCTATAAATACCGCAGGCCCTTGTGCAACAACCACCCGTTTCTGCTTTCTTGTCTCTGATGATGGATTCGAGTAGGAATCCGAAACGTCAGGCAAATAAAGCTCTTGTCCGGGCGATCGTGTCTCCTTCTTCAATCATCAATGCATTCTTGTGGATAGTAGTCTGTGCGAATTGCCAAACCGATAATATCAACCAGTCCAAGGGCTTTGATTCGGTCAAGTCCTGCGTACCACGTGAGGCACTGACCCCGCGTGACTATCCCCAAATTGTGGGCCGATTACACCTCGCTGTTGGTTGCGTTTCTCCGCAGCGCAAATGTCCAGAAGGAGGGTATCTCAACGTTTCCGCACTAGACTCCAGCAAAGCCATGCCGCGATAGGAGTATTGAAAGTAAATATTCCAGTCATTACTGTCGTGTCACTTAACAGAAACCGTTGGCAGACTTGAGATGGATACCGAGTCGGCCAAATCTGCAGTTAAGTGGCAGTCCGTGTGTAGGAATGTCTGTCTGCCCTCCTCCGGGTCTGCAAAGCGTGTCCCATGTGTGAGCCGTGTGCGAAGGTACAGGTAAGGGAACCTCGTTGGAGGGCGAACCTGCACTTGGCAGACAGGGGCTCACCAGTGGTGGATAGAGTCTAGATGAAGCCCAATCGCGACTTCAGAATGGTCTGTTGCTTGAAAAGGTTTCCAATCCAAACACTAAACATTCAGCAAAGCGAATATGATGGTCAAGATACCCAGGTATTGCTAATGTTACTTCATCAAAACTCGTCTTAGTGTCGTATGGATTCAAGTTATGCCATTTTTACAGCTCAATTACTAAAGCCAACTGCCAGATTTCATCCATAGGGGTGGATGACACAGTGAGGAATCTGAACCCGGATAATTTTTCACACTAATTACCCCAAGTGCGTTTGTAACGAAGTAAAAAGTGTTTCGATGTGGCGTAAGGTCTTACATATCCACAAATGAAATTGTAATTGGGCTTGCCGTTTATTAAGTCTTTGACTTGCCATCATACGTAAATTCTGCGTGACGGATATGTCCGTAACGCTACATATCTGTATATATCTAATTGACGAGATCAAGTTTGCAAGAATTTCCAAGGAAATTATTACTTTAAAATAATGCTTAATAGAATAATCGTCTTTTCATGTATAATAAAGAGAGTCAAATAAACGGGGGTATATAGAACTGTTTTGGGCTTACTAGGCCTTCATTTATCAAATCGTACATTCAGCTGCCCATTACAAACATAATTTGGCCGACTTCAGTTGAATGAATATCCGCCAGTTCAAAACGTCTTCCACCCATATGGGGTCGTTTGCCTCAAGAGACCAAAAGTCCATGTTTATTAATGATTCATTATATACAGTCATTAGCCGATCTTTTGAAAC